TTTCTTTTTGTTTGCTTTCAAAAATCAACTGCTCAGGGAGCTTCTCTATTGAGCCATAGGGAAATCTGATAAATTAGTGAGTGATTCCCAACCGATGCACTTCTTCCAACTGGATTCTACTTAAGAAGAAGGGAAGCGGGTGCATGATACAAAGTCCTGCATTTCATTCAATTACAATTAAAATGCTTAACCACCCGGTCTACATAATGAAAATTGGTGAGATGTTGGCAGCCCATAAAAACCACCTGCTCTGACAGGTGCTGACGCCAGATGTTCGTCTAAGCGCAATGGATAAAAATGATTATCCCAGTCCTTAATATACAGCGGGACAGTTAACATGGCGGCAGAGGGCAAGAAGAAGGGGAGTTACTACTGGTAATTAAGGACACCTGTGGCTTATATAAAACAACTGGCTGTAAAGTTCAGCCAAAAAACATTTGTCCTCTGGAGAAATGATTATAGGTGTCCAGATTGTGTTTGGTGAGTTGTTCATAGAATTGTAGAGTGGGAAGGGGCCAAGGCCACCTGGTGGTGGGTATCGTTACATCTTATGGAAACAAATTCCATAATTTAAGTATGTGCTGTGTGAAGTACTTTCTTTTGTCTGTCCTGGATCTTCCAGCATTCAACTTCATAGTACAAACCTGAGTTCTGGTATTGTGGGAGAGATACATTGACAGTGCAATCCTTAGCGACTTGTGGAGTGAAATGGTGGCCAATAATCCAGAGTCAGGGAAGGAGTGAAGTGGTCAGGCTTTGGGGGACTCAGCTTCCTCCCCCCCCCCTTTGGCCATAGATAAGCAGGACAAAGCGAAAAGAGTCACTTACCATTTAAGGTAAAGGGACCCCTAAGAGTTAGGTCCAGTCACGGACGACTCTGGGGTTGCGGTGCTCATCTCGCTTTACTGGCCGAGGGAGCCGGCGTACAGCTTCCGGGTCATGTGGCCAGCATGACTAAGCTGCTTCTGGCAAACCAGAGCAGCGCACGGAAATGCCGTTTACCTTCCCGCCAGAGAGGTACCTATTTATCTACTTGCACTTTGATGTGCTTTCGAACTGCTAGGTGGGCAGGACAGGGACCGAGCAACAGGAGCTCACCCCTTCACGGGGATTTGAACTGCTGACCTTTTGATCAGCAAGCCCTAGGCTCAGTGGTTTAAACCACAGCGTCACCCGCTTAAAGAGTCTTAAATGACCACAGCAAAAAGAACAAAGCAGCCATTCTCGGAATGACGGTGTTCCCAATTAAGGTTTCCACCCACTCCCCCCCATGTCACTTCCACGCCTTGCAACCAGATCTTGCAACCACCATGCTTTTAGTGTAGCCACCTTATCTGCTCTACGTGGCCTTGAGCTTATAGGCTGGACACTTTCCAGCGAGAGAGAGTCTGTTAGCTCTCTGTCTTCCAGTTCTTCTCCACTTTGCTGTTCACTCCCCAGTTCATCCCAACTTTTGTCTTCAGAACTATGCCCCTCTGCAAACCACTGTTCCGAATCTATACTGCTTCTTCTGCTCCTGGGCAGCTTCAGGATCCTGGTCAGCAGCAGGTGGAGGGGGAGGCTCCCACAATTCCTCATCAGAGCAGTACTCCTCTGCCTGGTCTCTGACATGATCCCTTGAGGAGTTCCAATAGTAGAACACTCAAAGGCCTCTGATTCACTCACCCATTTTTATGCTAAGTGTGTGAGCTGATTCCACTGAGAATCACTGCATTCGATGTGGGGTGCCATGAGAATTTATGCACAGCGGGGCCATTCAGAAATGCAAGTTATCTCTTCATATTGCACCCATCATGGGAAAACCAAGTACATCTGAACCCAGCTCAAAGCAGAAACCTCAAAGTGTCAGAACCAGTGGTGTAGCGTGGGAGGTGGGGTGGGGCACAGGGGTCGTTCTCCCTGGTGCAAAATTGTTAAGGGTGCAAAATTTCAACCCTGGTACTGCCTCAATACAGTTGCGTGCTTCCGTTGCTGGGCTCCATTGAAAACGGCTTCTCCACGAGAACCAGAAAGTGACCTCTCCAGAGAACAAAACGGCTTTTCTTATGTCTTACATCCTGCTAATTTTGCCATTAATTTTAATTATTTTCCCCGAAAAGCTGCTGCAACATTACAATACAGTTCATTGCCAAGAAAGCCTGAATTCCATTAAACTTCCCCAGAATGCATTAATGTGCAGTAAAAATGCTGTCTGGTGCTTTCGTTGCTGTTACCCGTTACCCAGGTTTACACAACACAGTAATGAAGTCAATGTAATAATTCCCCCGTTAGGAGAAACTCTCAGCTGTTTGCCAAGGATGTTCTCTTGTCAAAGTGTATTCTCTGATGAACTGAATTCTCAAGTTGAGACTGAACTCTGCATACCAATTTAAACTGCCATTCCCTAATCTGTTTACAATTTCCTCCTCCTCACACTTCTCTCTCAGGTCTGAAGAAGAGAGGTCTTGGGCCTATCCTCTGAAAACTAAGGAACAAGCATGGCGATCTTTGTCTTCTCTAGATTAGCCATCTTAGAACTTGAAACCTTTCCTATCCAAGTTCTGTACTTCCTGTATAAAACAACTTCATCACTTTCTTATTCTAAAAGGATCTTTGAGTGCACAATTGCAATGGGTAAAGGCTAGTAAAGGTAAAGGGACCCCTGACCTTTAGGTCCAGTCGTGACCGACTCTGGGGTTGCGGCGCTCATCTCGCTTTATTGGCCGAGGGAGCCAGCGTACAGCTTCCGGGTCATGTGGCCAGCATGACTAAGCCGCTTTTGGCAAACCAGAACGCCGTTTACCTTCCCCCCGGAGCGGTACCTATTTCTCTACTTGCACTTTGACGTGCTTTCGAACTGCTAGGTTGGCAGGAGCAGGGACCGAGCAACGGGAGCTCACCCTGTTGCAGGGATTCAAACCGCCGACCTTCTGATCGGCAAGTCCTAGGCTCTGTGGTTTAACCCACAGCGCCACACGGGTAAAGGCTACCCTCTAGCAAAATTCACAAGCCGCACTCTGCACACCAAAGTTTCAACAGGTTTCTTCCTACCTTTCGATTTCCTTTCATAGAAACTTCTGCCGCGATGTGGGGCAGTGTCTGTGTACAGACTTTCGAGATCTTCTTGCCACGTGTCTGGGTTAAAGTGCTTGAGGAGTTCCTCCACGGTGTCAAATCCAGCAACGGTTTGATCCAGAGCTTCTGCCGTAAGAGTAGGGTCGGTCACTGACGGAGAGTGATAGGAAACGCCCTAAGAGTGACATACAGTGCGGTGTACTTTGAAAAACGCAGGTAGAAAGTGACAAACATCTCAAATAAAACTTTTCCCCAGATCTGGTTCACAGAATGTATTCATATAGGGCTAATATTGTGCACTGCAAAACAAAAAGGGGCTGCATCCTCAATATATGTATGTTTTTTGTGTGTAAATGCAAACACATATACAGTGGTATCTCAGGTTACATACGCTTCAGGTTACATACGCTTCAGGTTACAGACTCCGCTAACCCAGAAATAGTACCTCAGGTTAAGAACTTTGCTTCAGGATGAGAACAGAAACCACACGGCGGCGGCGCAGCAGCAGCAGGAGGCCCCATTAGCTAAAGTGGTACTTCAGATTAAGAACAGTTTCAGGTTAAGAACGGACCTCCGGAATGAATTAAGTACTTAACTCGAGGTACCACTGTAGATACAAGCAAATTCTATCTACTATCTATCTATCTATATCTATCTATCTCTATCTATCTATCTATCTATCATCTATCATTTATCATCTATCTATCTATCTTCATCTATCTATCTATCTATCTATCTATCTATCTATCTATCTATCTATCATCTATCTATCTATCATCTATCTATCTATCTATCTATCTATCTATCTATCTATCTATCTATCATCTATCTATCTATCATCTATCATCTATCTATCATCTATCTATCTATCTATCTATCTATCTATCTATCTATCTATCATCTATCTATCATCTATCATCTATCATCTATCTTTATGCTGCTGGAGGAGACTCTTGAGAGTCCGTCCCCATGGACTGCAAGAAGATCAAACCTATCCATTCTTAAGGAAATCAGCCCTGAGTGCTCACTGGAAGGACAGATCCTGAAGTTGAGGCTCCAATATCTTGGCCACCTCATGAGAAGAGAAGACTCCCTGGAAAAGACCCTGATGCTGGGAAAGATGGAGGGCACAAGGAGAAGGGGACAGCAGAGGACGAGATGGCTGGACAGTATTCTCGAAGCTACTAATATGAGTTTGACCAAGCTGCGGGAGGCAGTGGAAGACAGGAGTGCCTGGCGTGCTCTGGTCCATGGGGTCATGAGGAGTCGGACACGACTAAATGACTAAACAACAACAAATCTATCTATCTATCTATCATCTATCTATCTATCTATCTATCATCTATCTATCATCACCTGTCTATCATCTACCCATCTATCTATGGTTGGCATCCGTCTGTTTCGGGAGACAATGGAGGAGTGCACCTTTGGGGGTGAAGTCAAACCATTGGAGTTACAGAGACCAATGGAGGAGAGACATGTTTTGTTGCAGCCAGGGCAGATGAAGGCACCCGGTTGTGCTGCTGCAGATGTACCATGGCATTTCTTCTTTCTGAACTCCTCCCAACGGTCACTACTTTTCTGATCACTGCTATGGATACCATGACCTGACTATCTGTCTCTAGGCATATATAAGATCATGGTTAACCAGCTGACTATGTTTGCATGTGTTATTTAAGTAGTGCCATTGGTGTGTGCATGGCACTTTACAAAGTAAAAGAGGATAAGTCCCTGCCCAACATTTGACAACAACATTTGACCAGAGATAAAGGGCAGGAAATGGACACTGGGGTAAACAGAAGATTATTTTCAACTGCACACAGTTAGGTCTGGTTATAGTGGGGTGTGGGAATTAAAGGGTTGTACCAAAGTCCTTATGAAAAAAATGAGTTTTGAAGAGGGATTTGAAGTAAGCGAGAGAGATCTCCAGGGTTTCAGACGCGGACTGAAGTAGGGTTGACGGGGGATTGAACCTGAGACCTTCTGCTTGCAAAGCAGATGCTCAGCAACTGAGCCATGGCCCTATCATACACTGCTGCTTTCCTTTTATATAAAACTTTTACCTTTGAAAGGATAGTTCCCCCCCCATTTCAATTAAAAAGGTAAAGAGACCCCTGACCATTAGGTCCAGTCATGACCGACTCTGGGGTTGCGGGGCTCATCTTGCTTTATTGGCCGAGGGAGCCGGCGTACAGCTTCCGGGTCATGTGACCAGCATGACTAAGCCGCTTCTGGCGAACCAGAGCAGCACACGGAAACGTCTTTTACCTTCCCGCCAGAGTGGTACCTATTTATCTACTTGCACTTTGACGTGCTTTCTAACTGCTGGGTTGGCAGGAGCAGGGACCGAGCAACGGGAGCTCACCCTGTCGTGGGGATTCGAACCGCTGACCTTCTGATCGGCAAGTCCTAGGCTCTGTGGTTTAACCCACAGCGCCACCCGCGTCCCTCCCATTTCAATTACTATGCAGCAAAATGAAAGCTCAGCTCTACTGAAAGAGAAGGACAAGTCAACAGAACAATCACACACCCTAAGATAACCTGCTGGCCCTGGCAGATGCATAGGAAAAGCAAATGAATAAATGGCAGCCTAACAAACTTGAGCTTGTTCTGCAAAAAGGGAATTACCAGTTTCAGGAGAAAAAGCTTTTTGCCAAGCGTATTGTGACTCGAGCGTTGCATCCAGGGAAGAAGACAATGGAGAACTGTTTTAATGGGACAAGGTTAAGACTTGCCAGGCTATTGACCTCACTGTTGCTATTCAGCAACTTTCAATAGGTTGCTCCTCAGTAGCAAACATTGGCAGCTCCCTTCTAATGAGTGCCAAGCCATTGTGTGATGTTCTTATTCTCCAGAGAGATAATTCCGAATGAACTTGCACATGTCCATCGGTATGTATCTAGCAAAGAGATTTAGCCAAGTTTTAAAAAGGTACAGAAAACCATCCAGAGATGCATATGTTACTGCATAGGTAAATAGCTTGGTGTTGGGTTTTTTTTTAATTAATGCATATATAAATTTTGCTAAATAAAATCAGTTATTCAGATTTCCCAATGTGTCCTTATGTGGTGGTGATACATGAGGGAGAGAAAATGAAAACATGATCATTCCATGGGCTTCCATGTCCAGGGGACACATACAAAAAAAATAAATAAATTATGGGGGAAAAAATCTGAATTCAATTCTTTCTCTAAAATGCATATTTCACATTTTACTTACCAAGACGGGGCTTGTGACCGATTCCCAGTTGGTTTCAGCTGCAGCAGGCTGGAGATCATCCTGAAGATCAAACAGAAAAATAAAGGACGGGGAGGGGCAGGTATTAGAGTCACAACATTATTGTACATGTCTTTTTAGAAAAATATATATACAAACTATATGGTCGCTGGGCATTTCAATTCGTAACACAAGATTTTGCTCCGTTCTTTTCCAATGCTCAAAGCAGCGGGTTGCATCTAATACAGTACAAATTAAAGTCACGTAGTGGTATACTTGTTCCACTTGTGAAATGTTTTGCACCAGCAGAACGTTGCTGCATGAGAAAACGCATAAGCAGGTTGCACAACCAGTTTCCACTAGTGCAACTGCTGCATAGGATTCCTCTGTTGTTTAGCATTAAAAGTCACCTGTCTTCTAGCACAAGAGCCCTTGCTCTTTGTGGCCAAATATTTGTCTAGTGGACAAAGATTGTTGGATCCAGCCTAATAAAACAATTTCTGCAGATCTGCAATCGATATTCCATAGATGATTGGGTTATACCTTGGAGAAATTCTTTGTAAACAAAAGTGTCTACAGTAGGTGCCTAAACATCATGAAGCACCTTTTTTTTATTTCAGTTGGTAATTTTCACTGTCAGTCTTCCTGCCTCCCATTCCCAGAGGGAGTTAGCCACCACTGCATTTAAATATATGTGTGTTTTTTAAATTTTTTTCTTGAATTTTACAATTTAATATTCAACCACATGACACAATATAACATTTATCATATAACCCCCCCTCCCCATGACTTCCATCAACTTCCCCTTCTGGTTCTTAAAATATTTACTCCTTCTGCTTAATTGTTGTCTTATTTTTATGATCTTACATCTAAATGCTCTTATTTTCTTATCAATTTTATATCAAATTTTCTTTCATAGTTACCTCTTACACTCAATTACCTTTCATATTATTGTTTCTTAACCTTTGAACTTGTTTTCTTAGTTGTAAATGTTTAATCAAACCCTGCTAGTGAGTCCGTTTCTTTACAGTATTTCTGTATGTAGAACATAAAGGGTTCCCAGTCTTTTTTAAAATCTTCATTGTCATTGTTGTCTGATTCTTCCTGTAAGGTAAAGGTAAAGGTACCCCTGACAGTCCAGTCATGAACGACTCTGGGGTTGTGGCACTCATCTCGCTTTACAGGCCGAGGGAGCCGGTGTATGTCCGCAGACAGTTTTTCCAGGTCATGTGGCCAGCATGACTTAAGCCACTTCTGGCGAACCAGAGCAGCGCACGGAAACGCCGTCTATCTTCCCGCCAGAGCGGTACCTGTTAATCTACTTGCACTTTCTGCATGCTTTCGAACTGCTAGGTTGGCAGGAGCTGGGACTGAGCAATGGGAGCTCACCCCGTCGTGGGCATTCAAATTGCCAACCTTTTGATCGGGAAGCCCAAAGGCCCAGTGGTTTAGATCACAGTGCCACCTGTGTCCCTGATTCTTCCTGTAAATTTCGCCATTTCTGCATATTCCATAAGTTTGGCTTGCTATTCTTTTTTCATTGGTATCTTGTCATCTTTCCATTTTTGGGCTGGGAGAGGCAGCTAAATGTATGTTTTTAAACACATTTTCGACCACAAAACTCATTTCTGAATGCATATTCTCTCAGCATAGCCTTTTCTAAAAGGATCCACTCTCAGAATGCATATATTATTATATAACATAGAATAGCATCAGAACATCCTGAAAACAGAGAAGCTAGTGGATAACTAAATTCCAGTTAGCTGGAGGTTGGGAATCAGGTCACTTCATTTTAGAATCCAATCAAATTCCTCACCGATCCCTATAAGAAACCATCTTTTGGAATGGAGGAAAATGCGAAAAGTAGTTTGCAGAATGGCACGAGGGGACCTGTGGCTCAGGTGTAACCTTTGAAAATCAATGAGTTCCTCTCTCTCTCAAGACACAATGCCTGAGCTGAGCCTTAAATAACCAGGAGCCACAGAGAAAGAGAGAGGATGTGTGGCTGCCTGCCACAATACATCTCTAGCTATAATTCCATTATTGGTGATGACTATGTTAATAACAGGGCACAATGATGTAGTGGGTGCCTCCTGATCCATTCTGACATAGTCACTTGTTATAATAGGAGAGAGAGCATGATAGTCCAAACTCTGTCAAAGAAACATGAAGGTTTTCAGCTGTAATTACAGTCAAGGTCAGTCTGAGCCTGGTTTGTCTATTTATGAAAAGTGAAAGGTGCAAAATGGCTTTAAGTAGCAGGCGAGTTTGGTCTGCACCTCTCACGTTCCTTGCTATTATGTTAGGAGGAGAAGGATGTCCAAATGCGTGGCTTGGGGACGATTCAAACTATGGGAAGCCAGCGTAATTTATGATGGCTTAAATTAAGATGGCATAATGTACACCACATCCAAACTTATTCAGGAACAGAGCTGCTGCTGCCTGAGACTGGCAGAGGGAAAGCAAGCTTTTCAAAATGGAGTTTACTTAAGTCACTGCTTATACTGGTGGAAGTTCCATCTGGTTGCCGGGTCACGTGACTGATCTGAACAGAGGGATTACTCTGTGAGTACCCCTGCTTGTCCCTGCCACTGCTCCAGAATATCTCTTTTTCAGGACTTAAGACAACCAGGGGCAGAGGAAGGGGGTGCGGTGGGGGGTGGGCCGCCCTGGTGTCACCACTGGGGGGGGGTTGACAAAATGCCGGGTGGCACTCACTGCGGGGCCTGCAGTGCGCCCGAGCCACGCGTCACTCCGGGGAGTGACGTGATGGTTTGGGTGCCCGCAGGCTCTGGGCTGCCCCAAATGGTCCGCCTGCCACCTCCCCCTCAGCTGTAGGGCGGCTGAGTGGGAGGAGGCAGGCAGACTCCTCAGAGGCCCCGCGGAGTGTCCTGCCCCGGCTCACCCAGCCCCACGGGCGGCTGGCCCCACCCCCCATGGGCAGCTGGCCCTGCTCCTGGGCGCAGGGCACACGCACCGCCCCAGGCTCCCAATCAGCTTGCTCCGCTGCTGAAGGCAACATAAGATCTGCTGGTCTCAGCTGAGCCCCAGATGAGCCATGATGAGAGAGTTGTGCCAGGGTATCTCTGGGTCAGTCAGAAGGTGTGGCTTGCACCTACATAGCCCAGCCGCACCAGCAAATCATAGAATTGTAGAGTTGGATGGGGCTGTCAGGAGCTTTTCCTACTCTCGAGTAGGACCCTGGTAGAGACACATGCCCAACTGGCATGATCTCTCCCTCCCGGTCGTTCATTCGGGCGATTCAAAAGCTTTCTTCAGCCCAAACATCACAGCGACCGATGCCAACAGACATTGGCACACTCAGGGATCCGCAGAGTCTTCACAGCTTTGCATGACAGACCTCAGCAACTCAGCATTTTGTCTAATCTACTTCATTTACATATAAAACACACATGGAGCACTGCAACATGGTTCCCTCTCTCTCTAGCATCAGACAGCAAAGAGAAAGAACAAAGGACAGTCCCACTTCACGTAACACAATAACACAAACATCCTGTCTCCGTCACTTCCCACTCTGTGGAGTCAAAACATACACCGTCATGTGACAGACAACAATCCCATGACTGCAATCACAGAGCAGGAATTCTAACAGGGGTCACAAGGGTCAACTAGCCCAACTCCCTGCAATGCAGGAATCTTTTGGTGATCGAACCCATGACCCATGACCCTGAGATTCAGAGTCTCGTGCTTTACTGAGCCAGAGACCTATTGGATCCTTATTTAGCCAGGTAGATTTTGGGCTTGGATTGCTTCCTTATTTATGAAACTGTGCAGTGGGTAAACAGGGAAG